TGTAAAGAGGTCTGGTGCCCTCTTCTGGCCTGCAGGCATACACACAGACAGAATATTGTATACATAATAAACAAATAAAATAAATATTTAAAAAAAAACGAAAGGGGGGGGAAATGAACAAAGATTTGGGTGTGGTGGCAGAGGTCTATAAGTGGCAGAAAGAGCAGGAGTTCAAGGTCATTTTCAGCTGAGTAAATTCTAGGCCAGCCTGGGCTACGGGAGACCCTGTCACAATAAAACAAACAATAAAAAAAAAAAACCATGAAAACAAACAAAGCATCAGGCACGCAGAAGGCAAGGTGTCCTTGTGCTCACAGATAAACTCTGGGAACCTGGAATAATAAATACACACAGTTGTTCATTCAAACACCTGGGAGCAGACGTGGTTAATAGCCTGTTGACCTCTGCGCTTTCTGTGTGGCTGAGACCAGATCCTCAATGTGAGCTTGTTTTTCCCAGAGAGTGTACAGACCCCGTCTTTATGGAAAGTGTAGCACACAGTCAGTCTACAGATCCCGTCTTTATGGAAAGTGTCTCACACAGTCAGCCTACAGACCCCGTCTTTATGGAAAGTGTCGCACACAGTCAGCCTACAGACCCTGTTACATGTACTTTACAAAGAGTTTCAATGTAATCATGGCCAATCTTTATTTGGTGCTTTGTTGCACACGGGACCGAGTTAATTATCACCAGGAAACTTTCCACCAAATTGTTCTATGCTTAATTATGATGCCTAAAATAAACTACGTAGGGTCAGACTCCAGAAGTTTGAACCAGCACCGGATAGTCCTGTTGAACTGGACTGCTTTCGTGCCCCTCCTCGGCTGGCCTTGGTGGTCAGGAGATTGTATTCCAGCAACCCCCAACCTTGGCTAACACAAACTCTACATATATTTCTTGTTGTTATTGTTGTTTTTGGTTTTTCAAGCCAGGGTTTCTTTGCGAAGCCCTGGCTGTCCTGGAACTCACTCTGTAAACCAGGCTGGCCTCTAACTCACAGAGATCCGCCTGCCTCTTCCTCTTTGGTGCTGATGCCCTGGGCACAAATAAGCTTTCTGCTTCAAGCTGGTTTTGCTGAGACATTTTAACACAGCACAGAACTACGGCTAACATGGCGCTGCAGCATTTCCCAGATGAAGGAAGCAGCCCAAAAGGAGCTGGCACACGGCAGCGCCATCCTCCTCGGGCAGCTCTTGTCTTAGTCTGAGAAAGAGACTGTGTCTTGTCTTCAGCTGTTGCCCGGGAGCGTGGTGATAGGAACTGAGCACATACTAAGAGATACTATGTCAGCTTCCTACTGCTAGAGCACAGTGCCTGAGAGAATTGTTAGGGAAGAAGTGCCCTTGGACTCATGGTTCTGAAGGTTCCAACTTCAGAAGGTCGGGGGAACTCACTGTGTTGGGTCTTTGGTAAGTTTGCCAGAGGGTGGCACCAAGGAGCATTCGACAGGCAAATGGGTGCAGGGTAAGTGTGTGAAATGGGTCCCACTGTGCACATCCCCAGTGGCCTAAGGACCTCCTGACGCCTATGTTTTCCTGGAAGAGAGTCAGAGAGGGTGTGGTCACTGGTAAAGATCCTACTTAGAATGTCCCAGGGCCTGGGCTTCCTCCCAACACTCTGAACATGTTCACCAAAGCAAAATCTGGGAAGAAATGAACCGCACACAGCCAACACACGCTTCAGCTTCCACTGTTTTAGTGAATTTTTTTGAACTTTTACAAACGTGCTCAGGGGCAGACTTTCTACTCAAATGAGAGTAAGGAGTTGGCTCACAATTTAAAGCCCAGAGTACTCTGGAGACTAGGCCCTCCCTTTTCCTCCTTAGGCTTGGCTTGATCCAAAAGCCCATAAAACTGAGCCCTTGTGTGCTTGGAGCCCCCTGAGAACCGGCTAAGATGTCATGTTCCCCCTCCTGCCATGATCGAGACCAGTGGTTTTCAAAAGTGGAAGAATCACACCAAAGAATTAAATTGCTAGAAAGTTGAGACCATCCATATGCTCAGGAACAGAGGAGAGTTCGGTTTCAGGAACCAGGAGGCCCCTCAAATCCCTCTCTCTCTGGACCTGAGGTCTTCCGGTGCAGATTGGGAGCATCCATTTCACCCGGGCGAGCCCTGGCTACAGGCTGAATTCAGAGACAGGGCACAGGGTCAGCTTACGCGCTCAAGAACCATACTGGAGAAAACTGGATGCTTATGATTTCCTTGTATGTCGAGGAGAAGTTTTAAAAATAACAGGCTTGCTCTAAATTACTAATATGAAAATAGTTTCTGCCTCTATTCAAAATAGCCTTAGGTATGTAGTATCTACTTTGAAAAATACAAATATATTTAAAGCTCGTGTAGCTGTGCCTTCGGAAAAAGTGGGCAGCGGCGCGGGTGGGGAACGACGTGGAGGACAGATGCAGGAAGCTGGGTGGTGGCGGGCAGTCCCCGGCATCAGCGCCCAGTTGGCCTGTTGTTGGGCCCGAAGAGCAGCTTGGCTCCTGGCTTGTCCATGCTGGAGTTGGCGCTGTCCGAGGCTTTGTCCGGCTCGGGCACGCAGGTGCAGCCCACCGGGATGGTGACGTAGTGTTCGGCGTACACTGAGCGGCCTCCCGCACAGGCGGCGGTGCGGCGCAACACTACGGCCGGGGAGTAGACTGGTGCGCTGCGGTAGCGGAAGTCCTCCTCACCAAAGAGCCCGGTCAGGCAGCCTCGGCAGAGGCAGTAGGCTTCAGGCAGGTACCTCGGGAAGCGAGCAGGGTCGTAGGAAATCCTGCCGACAGAGCGAAAGAGTGAGGGCTGCAGGAGAGGCACCACCGCGAGTTCAAGGCCCCCTTGGGCTACAAAGCAAGCCAGGACACACGAAGAAGCAAGGCTGGGACCCACAACGCATCCAGCAGTTGGCATACTGGGAAGGCCTACTTGGAACAGACAGTTACACCACTATGCCGTGAGCCCCGACCTGGAAAAGGTGGCTCTATCATGACACTTGACCTCTGTCATATTTGAGATGCTCGATGCATCCTCGATGCCTATAAAACTGCCCTGTGTCAGAGCTGGAGGGATGGCTCAGCGATCAAGAGCACTGACTGACCTTCCAAAGGACCTGGGTTCAATTCCCAGCACCCACATGGTGAATCACACTGTCTGTAACTCCAGTTCCAGTGAACTGGACACCCTGACAGCCTCACACAGACACACAAGCAGGTAAAAGTGCAGCTGGGTGGTGGTGCACACCATGAGACACAGGAAACGCTCTTGTGAGGCCAGCCTGGTCTACAGAGTGAGTTCCAGGCCAGCCAGAACTGTCACACAAAGAAACTGTCTCAAAAAAGCAAACAAATCCACAAACAAAAGTAAAAAACACCAAGTATATATATAATAGATAAATTATTTTTAAAAAAGAAAAAACTCTTCTCCTGGTACCATACGCAGGTGGCCACAGTATCCTCCTAGGCTGTCCTGTCTGCCCTGAGGAGCCGTCTCTCGATTCCAGCTCCAGGCCTGCCAGGCTCTGCAGCCCGGATACTTCCGGTCCCAGCTCCTGCAGACAGCTGCACCTGTGCAGAAGGCCACGCTGTGCTCCCTGAGTTAAAGCAGCAGCGGGGGACAAGAGTGCTGCCAGGAGGGCTGGCTGGGGTATTTGAAAAGCAAAAATAATCATTTTGATTTATCTCCAAGTTTCAATTCAGAGGCCAAATGTAAACATCTCCAGGACAGCCTGTGGCCAAATCCTAGGGGAGGCCATAGGTCAGCTACATCAGGTGGCTCACTTGGAGACAAAACAAGCCCAGGACAGCCAGCAGTCACCTACGCAGCTGCAGAGGGGCATGGGCAGAATCCAGGACACCGCTCATGAGACTTCTGTATGCCGACATCCATGCCCATAATCTGTGCATCTAGAACACAGGCTTTCCCTTATGGGTCTGCTCTCTCTAGAGACCCTCACGTCCATTAAATCTGAGCCCTGACCTTGCTAACCTGTCCAGCAGCAGACACACCTGAAGACCTACTATGTGCTAGCATGGGACGCACCAAAGAGTAGCCTGAGCCTAGTGAAGAAAACAAAAGAGAGGGAGAGGGATGGGCTTGGAGATCTTTCTGTTCCTGGGTGGGCAGGGAGGTCACAGGACACACCATCCCTGCAGAGAGTGGTGCCAACCCCAGGACATGCTTTCTCCTCCATCCTTAATACAATGAGGACGCTTGCCAACAAATACCTCCCTTTGACAGGACATTCAGAACGCCCATGTCAAGGAGGGGAACTGGCCTGCAGAAAGAAGGTGAGATTTGGGGGCCAGGAAGTTCTCCTGGGCATGGAACCTTTCAACTCCCCTCTCACGCTGTTCTAGGAACCAGAGAAATGGCCGGGGTGAAAGCTCATAACTGGGTGGAGGGATAAAGGCAGACACTTCTAAAGCAAACTCACGGATTGTGCCCGTTTGTGCTTCCCACCAACACAAAGTAGGTGAAAAATCTGCTTTTAAAGTTTGTTTCAAGGGCCGGGCGGTGGTGGCACACGCCTTTAATCCCAGCACTCCGGAGGCAGAGGCAGGTGGATCTCTGTGAGTTCGAGACCAGCCTGGTCTACAAGAGCTAGTTCCAGGACAGGCTCCAAAATCACAGAGAAACCCTGTCTCGAAAAACAAAACAAAAAAAAGTTTGTATCAAGGTTAGAGAGATGGCTCAGTGGTTAAGAACAATCATTGGCTGCTCTTCCAGAGGACCCAGGTTCAGTTCCCAGCACCCATATGGCAGCTTACAACTGTAACTCCAAGATCTGATACCCACACAGAGATAAACATGCTAAACATGCAGGCAAAATACTAATGCATCATCATCATCATCATAATAAAAATAAAGCTTGTTATTACCGTTTGCTCAGTCCTGCCATTGGGTTTGGGAGCAGAATAGACCTATCGCCCTCTCTCCGGACACTCCCTTTCACCAAACATTTGAAGGGAAAGGAGTCCTAAACAGCTAGACGCATAATGTCTCCAATTATTTTCAGCATTTATCCAACTCCTATCTGAGTTCTATTTCAGGCAGAACACCTGTGCACACCAGAGACATGCGGTAGAAAGAGCACAAATAGACGGAAATGACTGGCCCAGATCAAAGGGGTCGAAAGGGCATTTGGAGTGGGGGTCAAGGTGAGAGCTGGGAGTGTGTTGGGGGTAAAGCACAAGCTGAGAGGCCAGAGTGGCGAGTGATGCCCGGGCCAGGACCCTGACAGGTTTCAGAGAGCGAAGCAACCCAGTGACGCTTTAGAAAGATCTCCCCAACTTCATGGCAGAAGCGTGTCTGGGATAAAGAGGGAGATCTTGGTCAAAGGTGGGAGCTGCATTTTGGGATACGATCTGTATTACATGTGCTAGCTCACGGGTGTGGTGTGAGGAGAATGGTAGTAGGGGACTCCAGTGTTTGAAAAGGAAGGGCAGGGTCTGAGTTCAGAGACGGGATCTGCAGGCTGAGAAAGGTGGAGCCTAGAAATGGGGCTGCGCAAACACGTACAGGGGGCAGAGCCAGTCCATCAGACGTGTGGATACAGATGTTACTTGCTGTAACTATAACATAATACTCGAGACTGGGTAATTTATGAAGACTATAGACATTTACTTGGGTGTGGTGGTACATCCCAGCACTGGGGAGGTTGAGGCAGGAAGTCCAAGGCCAGAGTGGACTACATAGAATGACCTGGTTTCAACCACTCTCCAAAAAAAGAGGTTTATTTAGCATTTAGCTCAGTTTATCCTGGAGTCGGGGAAGTTCAAGAACATGGATGGCATTCTTTTTTTTTTTTTTTTTTTTTTTTTTTT